CACCTGATTCGGTATCCAGCCCTAAAGACAAGTACGGAAAGCCAAAGATACTGGGAAGCAAGAAGACAGCTAATGAATTGCTATTAATTAACTGCTATAAATGTACCCCCCCCCCTTCATGGGGGAAGCTGAAGTCAAAGATTAAGGGCTAATGATAAATATCATACAGCCTGCCATTTGAAATAGATAAATAAATATTTAGGTGACTTAGTAAAAAATGATAAAAAATCGGAATTCTCACCTTATAGGGTCTTTCACCATAGGAGAATACTTCCCAGAGCGTGATTCCATAGCTCCAAACATCCGACTTGGAATCAAATCTGAAGTAGTAGATACACTCAGGTGCATACCATTTCAGAGGCCATTTGCCTGCGCTTGCAGCCTACGAAATTAAAATAGAGGGAGGGGGGTGGGTAAGAAAGTAGAACAAGTGGGCAACAATAATTTGAGGGCAAAGAACAAAATAGCAACCAGTTCCCTGGGGTCCTCCTACGCAAAATAATAATTAGAAATGCCTGAATAAGTTGCTTTCTTGCTTGATTTTGTCCAACATTCTTTTCCAATCAGGGGGCCGAATTCCGGTGGCAGCCGATGAGAAATAGGATATGCGTCCGATTGAAGGGCGGGTGCTCATGTTTCAGAATGCTTCAACATTAGTAGTAGCTATAAGCAGCTGAGTGTTACCTCTGCTCTCATGTCATTTATCGTTCATTCTTCTCCCCTAACCTCCCTTCACCAGTCTTGGCAGTGTTTACCAGCATTAGACTTCATTCAACTTTCTGCGTGATATCTGCGACTTAGTTGACTCCCTTAATAAATACTCCAGGCGCATTTCGGTCTCTGTTTGCATCCAATCAAACCACTGCCTATTCAGACGAAATGGACGCTCTTTCTCTCTCTACAGTGAATTTTCTTGATTCACTTTGGATGTATTTTCCTTTCTAACCGCGTTTTTCATTGCATGGGTTGCTTAACTCATCCTTCAGTATAGCCATCTCATTAATCTAATATTTTTCGTTTGTCGCTACATACTGTACTTAATTACCTTTGAGTTGCCACATAACGTGGCCTATGAGAATTTTAGGCGGTATAAATAAATATTTGAAACTTTTTAGAGGTGACACTACGCGCTGTTATTTCGCAAAGGGATCGGAAAGCGCCAATTATGAATGCAAAAGAGCGAAAGATTGCACAGTACACCGAAGTCATTAGCCTACGATTAAATCTCAGCTTATTTCACTGTAAACTCCTTGATGCTGCAATACAAACTTTCTCCTGGAGTTGGGCAAAGTAGACTTGTTGCATGAAATATCCCAATGAAAGTACAGGCAAAGTCAAGCCAGGACACCAGCTTCATGGTTCTCTTCAAGCATGTTGAAATTAATGAACCATAATGGACTTCACGGGTGTCCCGTTGGCGATAAAATTCAGATGCAAACGACAAAATCATTATAAATTCATCCTGTAAATACAATACTTAAAACTGCACAGTGTGGGACACGTCATCGCATGCCTGCACGCCAGGATTGGGAGGTGCGACCTGGGAGGTGCGACCGTACAAACAGTGACCAATCATTAACCTCTGTTTGTGCTACCGTACAAACAGTGATCAATCATTAACCTCTGTTTGTTTCCGTACAAACAGTGACCAATCATTAACCTCTGTTTGTTTAACCTAATCCACCGTCCTGACCATGATTAAGCTTCCTGCGTGTGCACACTTTATCCGCAATATACGTACAGAATAAATGTGCTCCGTGCTACACGTCTGTTTCCTTTCATAGCTGGGCGGTTTAGCTGGTTCTGGGAGTCTAGCTAGATGTAGGAGGATCTCCCATTGAGATTTCTGAGTCAGTCAGGCTTTACTAGCGTAGCCAGAGATTTCTGAGTTAGTCAGGCTTTACTAGAGTAGCAATATTTCTGAGTCAGTCAGGCTTTACTAGCGTAGCAATCCGTGGAGCTATAGCTTAGCTGTTCTGGGAGTCTAGCTAGGTGTTGGAGAATCTGCCATAGAGATTTCGGTCAGGCTTTACTAGCGTAGCAATCCGCTACAATGCAATCCGGTCAGGCTTTACTAAGGTAGCAATCCGTTACAATTCTCAACCGGTCTGGCTTTACTAAGGTAGCAATCCGCTACAAGTCTTTAACCAAGGCTTTACGAAGGTAGCAATCCGCTACATGTTCGAGACTAAGGTAACAATCCGCTACAACATTTTATGCCTCATTTCCAAGTTTTAGCTTAACATATTTTGTCGATCAAGTGAGATATGTCACCCCCCCCCCCTTGAACACGATTAAACAGGATCACGCAGGTTTGGCTTTAACTTGGCAACTAGCAAATTAAGTTACAATGTAAATAAACCGATGGTACTAACGCCAATTTTCTTCACTGTTCTTTGGCAGACACCTTCCTCTTGTTTTAGTTTATACACCAAATTTGCACTTTCTGGGGATCTGTTGGGGGTGATAAAAATAAAGTGGGAAGGCAAGAGAGCTGTAGTTTGAGGTTTTAGATAGCTGTAATTTATTTGCCTGCTGAATAATTCATGGGATTTAATCCCATTAGAACTTATCCGATCGAAAAGCCTCATATTAATGAGCTGGAAGGAGTTGAATACGTTTCGCACATTCAACTACCTATAAAAGGAAATTTTATTGTCTGTTATGAGGTGTTCCTATGTGCTAGAGACATTCTCAAGAAGAATAGGTGTACTCTGTTTTTTTAACTAATTCTGCAACATTTAAAAATGGTAAAGTGGCCAATAATTTAAAAATCGATATAGTTAAGGAATTAAAAAAAATACTTTGACACGAACTAGTTAACTATTGGACAAATACTAAATTACATATGTAATTGCAAGTAAATATGTAATTGTGCATTATTACACAAGGAGCGTTAATAATTTGTACTAATAAAACGGGAACAACCTTTTAGTCAAATGAATGAAATCCACTGAACCGTTGTTTTATATCATTAAACACTTCAAAGAGCAGTTTCTTATCTGTAGCCAAGGCCTTTGTAGATGGTGACAATGATAACTCCCATGAAAGGTGAGCAATAGACTTACCTCCGCGTGGTGCACCCTGGGCAACGTATACTCATACGGCAAAAAGGTCTATTAACCGGCAGTTGACTTCAAACTCCAAACTACCATCACCCCACTGTATGTCAAATTCGACTGCTTCAACTGT